ATGTATATTACATATAAACAATTATTTAGAAAAAAAATACTTTAAAAATAAATATTAAATTAATTAATAATTATTTCTCAGAAAATTTGGCATCACAAAAATTTTGTTGCAGGATCAGATAAAAGGAAAATTTAAGTTAATCATATACTTTCAGGATTAAGAAAACCTTTTCTTTCATAATAATAATTATTCTTAATTACTTAAATCATTAATTCTATACATTATTTGTAAGCAATCTGAACATTTTTCATTAAAATGTTTATAGTAAAACATTTATGAAGACAATATAAAGTGAAAGCTTAAACTCTATAAGTGTTATTAAAATTACAAGTGCAAATTTAAATTTAAATTAAAATTTCTAAAATCTAATCTCACACATATTTGGACTGAAAATTAATATAATTTCTGATTCAGATTCAATTCATACCCCAATCATAACATAAATAATAAACAGTTACAAAAATAGTAATTCATGTCCTTAAACGGTAGACGCCAGGAAATGCAAGTAGAGTAGCTAAATATCGAAGAGAACTACCCACTGAAAATAATGTCAGAAGCAAGTAAAATTACAATCACTAAACAACATCCACTAACTTACCAAGTCAACTACATTTCCCAGAATAAATTGACCTCTTGTACAACAAACATGAACTTAGCAAAAATGTGTTTTCCAAAATTTCTAGTATTGTCCATAAAATGTTGATAAATGTTTTCTGTTGTTGAACTTTGACAGCAGGAAGCTTATGATTTGCAGAAGTTAATTTGAGTTAGAGTGCCAGGAAGTGATTAGACTACGACAGTATAAAATCTGCATTTCTCAATAATTTATTAAATTCAACTAATACTCCACAATCACACCAGTTTACAAACAAGGGAAATTTTTATGTAATATTATTTAATTATTTCTTCAAAAAAATGTCAGAATGTTTTTGACTTCCTAAAAAAAAATGTATGTGATCCAGGTCCCTCAGCTGAAAATATAGTAAATTATTACTAGCAGAAATCGTCAATATACTGGAGCTGAGGATGTAAAAAATGATGGTGATGACGACAATCATATAGATTTCATCATTTAATACTTTCAATGGTTTAAACTGTCAAAAGAGTTTATATCGTGGAAGTACTTTGGACTACTGAGGGCAGCAAACAGCATAATTGTTGTACCAATTAAAAGTGAAATGAATAGTCTTACACTATTGTATCCACTCATTAAAGAGTATTCACAGGCAAAATGAACATGTTGTAATTATTTGTCTGAAATTTATATCATCCTTTTAGCTAGTAAGTTTCAATTTATTTAATAAGTAATTTTTTTAGTTTTTAGAAGTTGGAAAGCCAGCCAGAAATGAGCGGTCATGGTCATCTGTGACTAAGAAACTGTCTCATAAACTTAAATTCCGAAACAATTTATTTTCAAAAATGATATTTTGGTACTATTCATTTTATTATTTATCGCCAGTCTGTTTTGCAACAAGTTACACTTGTAATAATGTATTGATCTAGGGATTATTTTTGTGTCTTTTGTGTCTTGTGCCAGTGAAAGTTAATATAGAGGCCTAAGGCCAAATTGACAATTACTGGTAATGCATCAAATTTGGTATCTTTAGTACACTGTCTAAACGGTTAATTTAAATGATTCACCTAAATTCGGTCAAAAAATGTTCTAAAGTAACTTTTTATAGTAATGATCACATTTTTTAACTTCATTCAGTTTCAGTCTAGATGTTAAAAGTGTTTGCTTGTTGAACTGATTAACTGTATGTCTATATATTTTCATCAAACATCAAGTCAATTCTCATAATGATATTTAAAAAAATTAAACAAGCAGTTTTAACAGCCAGACCTGTTTTAGATCTCAATATATTTTTATTAAACATCAAAAAAATCTTAATAGGATAATATTAAAGAATTAGGTACTTTACCTCAAGATTAGTTTCCATCTGCTGGCGTTGGTCCACCATCTTCTCTGAAAGCCCATCATTTTCAGAGTAGCTTAATCTTAGCGTAACATCTTTGCCAACACCATAAGTCCTTACCAATGGTTTATGGTGTGATTTCTGTGGCCAATCTATTTGATTATTATTATTAACCAATGAGTCACTGCACATTTTTTGGACAGGCTTATGATGCTGTCTTTGTCCAGTTCTTTGCAAAGAACTATATTTTGGCATAAACCTAGCATCTACTGAAATGTCAAGGTTACCATCAACAGTGGATCGACTACCAGAATGTTGTTGTGTTCCCAGTAAATCTGGGGAACTGATTCCTATGTGAGACTGGTAACTCTTTGACTGGTCCAGTAACAGGGATTGTATTTTCTTCCGCTTTTCTTTTGACCTACTGGAGAGAGTTCTTCTTTCAACATCTGATTGCCCAGCAGAGTCAGCACGCTGCCTATAATCCATAAACTTAACCAAAGTTGAATAAGAATCCTTGGTTGGACGTAAACTTTTATGTTTCAAACCAGGACTCCCCAGAGGTGTTCCAACTGGGGTCATACGAGCACTTGCAGGTGCACTTCTCTGCCCTGCTTTGCTGGATTCTTTTATAAAACTCCATCTCTTTGTCGGCTTAGTAACCTGGCGGTTAAGACAATTGATACTAGAGCTCAGAGAATTGTTCTCTCCTATGCTTAGTTCGTTTTGCGGAGAGCTACTCCGTGACTGATTGAGTAACATTTTTTGGTTCATCTCTGTAATCTGACTGATCAGGTGAAAATCGTTTTCAATGTCCAGCGGCCGGAGATCAGCCTCATCCACTATGTCGAGTCTACCTTCATCAATTGCACGTGTGAGACTATTTGACCTTCGGCGCGATACTGGTTCAAGTTCATCATATTTTTGGACTTCCACATTTTTAGAAGGAGTACTGCACCTTGGCCCTAGATGATCACTTCCCTTATTAAATTTCTCAAACACATCTGAGCTTCCTGTATTGTATGGAAGAGACCTTGTTTTGTGATTATGTACAGAAATTTGGTTATTATTTACAACGCTAGAAGAATCAACATTTACGGTAATACCTGACAAGTTTTGCTGATTACCATTTCTTGAAATATCTCTAGAATGACTTGTCGGAGATTTCTTATTTATAAATCCTGGCAAAAGGTTAGGCCAGGCAATTTCAGTTGGACTTCCTGGAGAGTAATCCTTTCTCTCTCCAGTCTTTTTGGGAGATCTTAATGGGAGATGGGTCTCAAGAAAAGTATCCCGACTGGACACCTGCCCTCCCCCACTTGCATGTTGTGGTTTACTCATCCCCATTTGTCTTGCTGATTTCAAATTTGCTCTTTCAATTCCACTGTCAATCATTCCATTCCAACTGCGGGGACGGGGAAAACTTCGTGATCTAAGCCTTGTGTCTGTACTGGGAGCTACTGGGCTTAGAATTGATGATCCGTCTTCCCGTTCACGCTCAGCTTTGACTTTCTCCAAGACGTGGTGAAGTTCCTCTGGTTCTAGGCGCCAGTCGGCTTTGCTTTTTGCCAAAAGGCTGCCTCGTCTTGAGTCATGTGTACTTGAGTCTGTAGAGCTGCTGTTACTTCTATCTTTTCTGTCATTATAATCATCCAGATGAGCCTACAAGAAAAAAAAAGACTTTTCTTTAAATATTTGTATAGCATAATTACATATAATTTAATTTATTTACCAAATCACTATCAGTAAGTAGACCTAAGAGGTCAGTGAAAATCTACATAAAATATGAACTAAAATAAGCCAAAAATTAATCAAAGTAAGCCAATTATATTACAAATTGAGTAAATTACTAACAACAAAGTAAGTTTTGTTTCATTAGATAATTTCAAAAATACCAAAACAACTATAAAAATACTAGTATGCATACATACTTATTATTTGAATATTTTAGCTGGTGTATATTTGGGGGAAAAAATCTAAGAATTAAACTGAACATTTAACAAATTGAAATTATTTTTATCATTATTTATATCAATTTATATCAAGAAAAACATAATTTCTAGGAAGAGGATAACAATTTGGTGGGCATTGAGTGAAGAAGCATTTGGTACAGTGATTAGTTTTGGGGATTCTCAGTAACAGACCAAGGGTTCCTGTCTGAGGAAGCAACTTGTTTGTTTACTTGGCACAAGACAGATACCACACTGATTATCTCTACCAAACAGAATGTGACAAGACAGGGAATTAGTCCCTATGGCATAGGGACTAATTCCCTATCTTGTCACATTCTCAGATTAAAGATGTTTGATTGAAATATTTCAGGGTGTGAATGGTTGCAACATGAATGGTCTATTATGCATTTTAATTTGATCTTTAAATTCCCACCAAACAGCAAGTAACTTGCAACTTTAGGATGGGAAAAATGCTTTATAAGCTAAAGTCTCTTTAGGAGGGGGAATTGTTAGAAAATAAAACAATACATAAATGTATAAAATCAAATGTTAAAACTTAGTATTAGTTATAAAAGAATGTTAAAGAAAGTCTCTGTTTCCACACAAGAGCTGGAGTATAGGGCCCAATAAAAAAAATTATTAGTTTATCACCCTCGCGCGCATGTCTTTTATGGTACTGGAAAAAAAAAATTTTTTTGAAAAAAAAATTTTTTTTGACCTTTTTTTTATTTCTTTTATTTCTTTTTTTTTCATTTATTTTATTAAATAGTTAGTAGATATTGTTTGCATTATCTAAATCATGTTTTACTTTGAATATCAATGCACCAGCACACAACCCAAGGGTGATATTTGGCTTTAGCAAAATAAAAAATTAAAAAAAAAAACCTCCCTCCCTCATCACTTTTCCTGCCCAGATAGGGTGATAAACTAATAATATTTTTTATAGGGCCTAACCAAGAGTGAAACAAATCACTGTCAAAGTGGCTCTCCAATCATTTGAATCAGAATTAGTTATCAAATTTACTTATCCAATTGGCAATTACAGTGGAACACTATAGCTCTAGTCTAAACATTCACAACATTTAGAGAAAACACAACAAACAAATCAAGTTACAGTAGTCTAATAAGGTACTATAAATAGATCTTTGTCCTGTTATAAATTAAAAAAAAGACACACATATAAAGAGTAGCAATTGTGGATAGATGGAAAATATAGACAAAAAATACCTTTTTATACAAAAAGCTATAACTACACTACCTATATTTTATCTGATGACCAGGTATATTTTACTACTGTAATAGTGCTGTGAATTGATACTTATAGATGTTGGATTATACTGGATAAGTATTTCTGTATTATACCAGTAAGTGTTTACAGGAAATTTGGTCTACTGCGTACAGGAATTCATCCTTTTGATTTTATTGGTTCTTTGCTCATTAACAATATTTGTATGCAGCTGTTGTCTGCAAAGACTACGGTAATGAGACTAGTTTTTATTTAACAACTTTTTTACGTCATTCAACAAGGATCCATAATTGTCCAATAGACAATCCCACTATCCTATCACATTTTCATCACATGCAGACAGTACTTACAATATTTTTATGTTAATGTGATCTCCAGATTTACGAACATTCCTACTTATTAACAAATTTGCAAGGTGAGAACATTCAGCATAAGGACAAATCAAGATTCAATTCAATTTTCAATTCAAAAATAAACATTTATTTAAGCTTACAAAGGTAGCCAACCAAAAGCCATTGTTTAGGCAGTGTTGCCAAAGAAACCAAAAACGGAGCACACCCACAAGAAAGAAAATGCATGAAAATCATAGTAATACAGTAGAGATATGTATAGTATGATTGTAATTAACTTAATTATTAATTTTATTTAATTTATTACTGTACCAACTCCATGTGTGACCATTAATTATTCATTATGGTAGTTCATCAGTATTTGATGTCATGATAAACAAGTGATTTGAAATAGAACTTCCAAATTTTATCATTGTGTAAATTTTATTTGCTTACATGAACATTGGTATTAATCAGGCTTGTCTTACCTAAAATTATTCCATATGAGAAGATGTCATACAACACAAAAAGAACATGTTTGAACTTAAAAAAAAGGGCAATAGTAAAATAAGAAGCAGATGCAAACAAAAAAATCTGTATTTTGTGGCCTAATACATTGGATTTCATACTACCATGTATTATAAGTCAATCGTGACGTCATCCCTGTAACTCCCAATATTATTTGCCTATTCCCCAGCGTCCACTTATTTTTCGATTAGTGGACGCTTGGCTTGATTTTTTTTAGGTTCGTGTGCAAAAAAAAAATTCATTTTTTCGTCACCGCGAATACATCGCGCACCACAATAGAAATTGAATTGTAATTGAAAATTACTTTCGTAAAATAAGCTTATTAAGAACACGAAGAAAGTTACTTCAAATTCAATATTAAGTATGAACAATTAAGGAATTCATTGAATCAATGGACCCTCATAAACACAACAAACTGAACGTTTAATAGGAATATTCTATACCTATTTTAAAGACTCCAGGAACAAATTTAGATGTAGGCCTACGGCCAGGCAGGAGGCCGCACTGGCCTCCTACTACTATGAGACCGTAGCCTAGCCTAGTTATGAAATCTTCACAAATTTTACCTGTCTGCATTCATCTCTTAACCTTCAATCAATTTCCTTAAACTATTACTATATCATTATTAACATTATATCATTAATCCTATCATGAATCCTACCTACTGTAAAATCACAGACCCTAAACATGGCTATGTTAAACGCAAAGCTTTAGTTCAAATGAGACATCTGTGTATCTTAATTAATGTATATGTTACCATGACAACCTCACAGATATCAATATCAAGGTTGATAAGTTTAGTTCTGAATATTCACATACAGTATGCAGTAAATCTGTCATTAAAAAAAATACAAAACAGAGAGTTTTCCCAAGGTCGCTTCGCTCAAACTACATCTTGGTAAAAAGATCAAATTTCTGTACAATTAGTAATTATCACCCAATATTTAATCATAAGTTAATTAAGTTTAGGCTTAATTCAAATAAATTGAACCTAAATACAAAAAAACCCATCAAATATGCCAAGGGTAATACTAATTTGGGTAGGAATTGAACACAATCTCCAAATCTTGGTAATGTACAACAGAAGACGACTTTCCTGGAAAATAAATAACGTGTACCCAATGAAAAACCGCAACTTACACTTCTTCTATGCAGCCATCTCCAACGTCTATGCTGTTGCATGCTGTGTTAGTGGCTGGCCTACTAGTTATATACAGTATAGGGTTTCACAGAAAAAATCTCCAGAAATTAACTGACTCAGTGACTACAAATTCCCAGTACTGGTAAGTTATTTCTTTTGTGTTGATGTTGGATATACAAAAACAGATGTGATTAAAACAAAACTGATACTTCTGAATGTTCCGAAAATGAAAGACTTCCTTATTTATGGGGAAACAACTGTAAAGTCCTAAAGTTTAGGAAAGTAACACCATGGCATCATATCATGACTTCACAAAATGATGTAATTTAGGAATTCTATGACAGTAGGTATATAATTCTTTACTTTTAACATTCTTTCATAAAAAAAGGGATAGAAAAGGAAGTCAATTACGTAATGTAGGTCATAAAGAATTGTAAATTCAATTGAACACAAAAAGGAAAAAAAATGTCTGATAATTCAGATTGTTACAAAAATAGACAAACTTTTTAATTGGTTTTATTTTAAATAATACTGCAGACAGGTCTGTATAAAGGAGACACTTGTTCCAAAAAACATGCCAAACCTGTTAAACTGATTTAGTTATCTTTTTACTTTTCTTGAGAAATAAGTATCACACACGCTCTATCATATCCATCACTTCCTCACCCGTAAACATATTTCATATGCTTGTACACAATACAACAAGTTTTGAAAATATGAAAGAACTAGATACAGTCACCATGGCCAGACACAATATTACAATGGATGATAAAATATGAAACTAAACTCACAGTGATCACGATCACAGGATTTTGATTTTGCATCTTGACAAGTCCTCATGTGCAAACAGACCAATACATATTCCTATAATAAACACTTGGGCACTGAGACAAAAACTGAGACAAAAATCCGCCATAAATTTGTTGGACTGTTACTGGAACTGTGTGTAGAAATGTTTATTATTGTCACTGTCATCGAAATGACCTATTGTATTGCGGTAGGACGCTATTCGTTGATTTTTATTCACTTCACATCCTGGCCTTGTTTAGGTTAAGCCTTGAACCTGAAGGAATTAATATCTTGTGTGGGTTGCAAAGGCGTTGATTGATGCAACCGTATATGAAGAAAAAAATCATTTATCACTACAGTAGTTTTACTACGCTGGTCAATAACATAAGCTCACCTAATTCCTCTGATTGTCAGTAATCTACAAAGAAATATAAATACTGTATACAAGAATGACTAAGGCCAGGTGAAAAAAATTATTAATCGCTTGTCCGAATTCTTTTTAAAAAGGCAGGCCCTTTCTTTGGTATTATTAACATAAAATTTTGGCCAATTAGTTATGCTATAGTAAACACTAAATCTAATCCACACAAGGTAAAGCAGAATATAAAAATGACCAATATCAGTAGTATGCTATCACTGCATCCAGTATGAAGGATAGAAATGCCGGAAAAAATGGA